ATATAATAATTATTACAAATTAAAAAAAAAACAATTATTACATTATTACAAATTAAAAAAAAACAAAATGTTAATAAAAACACAAATAGGTATAAAGAAAAAAATCCCAACAATATAAAATAAATCAATTAACAGTCAGCTAAAAATAAATCTTTTTTTTAAATACAGGCACAGAATAATTTGAAAGTTTAATTTGGTCATCTATATTATTAAAAACAACAACTGCATTATAACTAAAAGATCGTTTAAACATGGCAGAATTAAAATGAGGCAGATTCAATTTGCAAACACACCTAAGGTTGACATCATGCAATTCATTTCGAAATATACGTTTTTCCCTTCAATAATATAAGTATTTAATAACAAAATTCTGTAAACATATACTGCAAGATAGAGATTGTATTGCTTATCAAGTTTTAACCAACCTAGCTCTTTCATTTTGGAAGAAATGTGATCGTACCTTTTCAGTCCAAAAATAAACCTACAACAATTGGTTTGAATTTTTTGTAGACGATTTAAAGTAAGTTGATCTAAACAAGGTAAATAACAAATAATACAGTAGGATAATATAGCCTATATTATATAGGCAATATTAGCGTTTCGCATAATTTTTTACGCAATTTGGCTTTAATAAAATCTCTATTTATTTTTGAAGAAAAGCATATCAGGTTACACTTAGAGGGATTAAGATTATTTTCATGTGAATATTTAGAAATAGCATTTAAATCATAGTTTAAGTTTTTGCAAGCTTGCTGGATATATTTTGGAGAAAAAGAATAAAGCAGCTGAGTATCATCGGTTAAGACTGAGTGTCACTCGAAACTGACGTTTTAGAACGAGCAAAAGGCAACTATGATGACTTATAAATAGTGTTGTAAAAAAAAACGTTTTTTTTCAGTTGAAAAAAAACACGTGAAAAAAAACATGTTTTTTTTCACTGAAAAAAAACAAAAGTTGTTTTTTTTCATTCTCACCCACGTATGGTAAAAGGGCGCCTCGCTGTCGGAAATGCTGACTTAGCATATCGTATAGTCTATACGGTATTATAATAGAAGAGTTAAGACCTGCGGCTTTATAGGTTGATGCATAGTTGGTAGAAATGCCGAAAAGAAAAGGCTCAGGGCGAAAGCCAACAACGTTAAACAATTTGTTTGAGAATATTACTAATGGTAAGTTAGAAACTATAATTAGTATTTAATAATCTTCTAGTGACAGAATGTGCCAAAAATTCTTTCCTCAGCAGTGACATTTCGAAAATCCTGTCACTTAATATAATTTGAGTATTTTTGACCATTTCTTTGAAAAAAAAACATTTTTTTTGAAAAAAAAACAAGGACCTCTGTTTTTTTTCAAAAAAAAACATTTTTTTTTGAAAAAAAACAAGAGTGTTTTTTTTCAGTGACAACAGTACTTATAAATAATCAACTAATATGATAAATCCATGGACATATTCCATATCCTGCTGACCAAAAAGGCAAAAAGAGGCAGCTAAACTCTTTTCCCTTTTAAGAAAGAAAATTTGATGAACGTTCTGGTATCAAATACTTTGCCTCACACCAACACACACCTAAAGAAATATCTTCTGGTTTGTAAAGGATTTATCTTCGTTGAAAGGCAATGTTAAATGGTTTAGAAAAACCTTATTTTTGGTAAAATTTGTAATTTTAGACTTTCATATGAAAAAACAAGGATAAGGAATGTGGTAAAATATAACATCATTTCCTTTCATTAATTACGTAAAACAAAAATGGGCTTGAAAAACTTGCTCTAAAAAACCGACACGAACAATGTTACTTTTTAAGCAACTTTAAGCGAGCATTTTATCAAACAAAAAAATATTTATTTTAAATCATAAACTCTGGGCGTTCTTTTTTATCACTCGCAATTTAAAATTTGCTATGTTGATTTTCACAAAATAAGGTTTTGTCCGCGATTTTTTAAATTCCTCCCAGTGTGCGTCAGTGTGCTACCGGGGACTTCGGTACGGAAGACAAGACTCAGTATCATACGGGGGGCAAACAATTCGAAAGAGGTTACCAGGAACCTGATACTGACTCGGACAGAGATGTTCAGAAATACACCAACAAGGACAGGTTCTAGCAGCGTACTAACACTTCTACCCCCATTCATGAATCCCAATTGAATGGGGTTATTACTAAGTCCCAGGTTGAGGAGGATTCCGGATTGTACTTAGTTTTGGGTCAGTTCAATGTCCTCCAAAAACCCTTCCCAAACTGGACGTATGGCCCGACCCGGCTGACAAAAATCCGTGGAGCGGCCTTAACCATAGACACTGTCTTGCACGACCTCCTAGGGTGGATCTACCAGCTGACTAAAAAACTTCGGATCCAACAAACACAGGTAAAGCTGTGATTTGGCGGGATACGCAGGAGAACGGAAAGGGGGTAAAATAACCCTGGAGTGGCGGTTAATGTCTTTGGGGCCTGCCATACGTTCCCATACTCATACTCATAAGACTATAGTATATATAGTATAGTAGAATATAAAGACTTCATATTAATAATAGTTTAAAAGTCAAATTATTATTAAACTCTGTACAAAACTAAAGCTAAAATGTCATCAGGTCAGTTGGACCTAACCTAAAAATTATGAGACAGAAACTTAAGAAATTCTTGAAATGCCTCGCACACAATCTACTGCCTCGGCTATCGCCTCGGCATTGAAATGTATTCTCAGCGATATGTGCTTTCTCTGCCTGGTCTATAATGTACTATTTGTTCCAAATTAAATTGTCAAAATATGTAAAAAATATATAGGGTGTTTTAAAAATGTTATTTTTGTGAATATTTTGAAAACCCGAAGTTCAATTGTTTTTCTGTTTTAATGAGAAGAAAAAATGCCACGAATTTGCTCTTAACTGACATTATAGCTCCGATAATAACGAAATTAGCAATGGTGAGCAGATAACTTTGGACACCCTGTATAAGTAAGACTAGACAAAAATATGGATTTAATTTAAGGCGAGTGCACAGGACATGAATGACATTTTATCTAAACTAATATTTTAGTTTGCTAAATTTTTACTTTTTCCGAAAAACGAAAGGGGATTTGTCAAAATGCAAAAAATCGGTGCAAGGTGAAAAAGTTGTTTAATTATCGCGTAGGTAATTAATAAAATAAGTGGCCGATAATTGAAATGACTTACCGTGATTTTCTGTGAGGAAAAGCAAAACGCGTATCTGATAGATATAGAATTCGAAAGTGGAAGTGAAAAAAGCACGAATTATGAAAGAAATGACGATGCGTAAAATTAGGTTTTCTTAAAATGAGGTAATTTGAGGTTATGCAGGTTTACAATCCAGCGTTGCCGTACTGCTCTACACAAAATACATAAAAAGCGCCAAATTCAAACTTTACAAATGGATAAAGACTAGTTAGTGCATTTTTGGGAATTTAAATTTGTTATAAGTGTTGTAGATATTCTTGTAACAATAACTTGTAACTATAAGGTTTTAAAGAAAAAAGGTCAATGGTTACAGGACAGTGCCTAAGCACAGTTCCGCGGGCTCGGTTTATTTTAAAGTTCAAAGGGTAAAAGTCAAGGCCTGAGCACAATTCTAAACTTCTACACCCCCCACAACTATTTTTTGCATTTTGACAACCCTACCATCGTTTTTCGGAATAAAGGCAATATATTATATATATATATATATATATACCAGAGAAAAATAAATTTCTTTTTAACGAATTTAAAATTAAAAATTATCAGATTGGAGCGTTTTAAAAGAAATATTATATAAGTCTATAGACCAAGATTTGTTTTATATACAGGGTGTCCGGGAAAAGAAAGTCAATCCGTTAACCATATTCTTTGAGTTAAAACAATAAGACTTTCATAATATCATTTTTCAATTTAGAGCTTCATGTTCGATATACAGGGCGACAAAGTTTGAAATTTAAAACTGATTTTGTTTAATAATTCGAGTAATTAATAAGATATTAAGTTCAAATTTGGTACACTACTTCAACATAAATAGTTACATTTTTTGAGACCAACAAAACAAAAAACAATTGTCAAATAATCAAAATAGGGGGGGTCCAGTACTCACTGACTCCCCCTATTTTTAGTACGTGCGCCAATGACTTCCAAACGGTATTTTTTCAGGTAATCATTTATTGTTGAAATTTTTTTGTGTCTTATAAAATTTTGATAAAATGATTTGTTTTAGAGATAATTTGTAAAGTATGGGTCAGTCCATATCAAATCAACCAAAGGTTCTTCCCCCACCATCTCCGATTTTAATATTTTTTGGTAAATTTGTTTACCTCACTAAAAAACTCAAAAATCCCATATATGAATTTTTTTCGATGGGTGGTTTTTGTTTTATTGATTTTTGAAAATCAAAAAATTCCGATAAATTTGGGTACTTACAAAAATAGCGATATCTCGTAAACTATTAAAAGTAAAAAGGTGAGTGATGGCTTATTTTAATGGCCTATTAGAGACCTTTTTTATGATATATCACATGACCTAAATTTTTTCAAAAAAAAAATTAAATTTTAAAAATTTCATATGGATTGACCCATACTTTACAAATTATTTCTAAAACAAATCATTTTATCAAAATTGTATAAGAGACAAAAACATTTCAACAATAAATGATTACCTGAAAAAATACCGTTTGGAAGTCATTGGCGCACGTAATAAAAAATAGGGGGAGTCAGTGAGTACTGGACCCTCCTATTTTGATTATTTGACAATTGTTTTTTGTTTTGTTGATCTCAAAAAATGTAACTATTTATGTTGAAGTAGTGTACCGAATTTGAACTTAATATCTTATTAATTACTCGAATTATTAAACAAAATCAGTTTTAAATTTCAAACTTTGTCGCCCTGTATATCGAACATGAAGCTCTAAATTGAAAAATAGTATTATGAAAGTCTTATTGTTTTAACTCAAAGAATATATGGTTAACGGATTGACCTCCTTTTCCCGGACACCCTGTATATATGGATATTTGGACAGCTTAACCTTATTTAAAAAATGTCAAAACTGATTAAAATATGTATATCAAATATTTACAAGTGTTTAACAAACATAATTTCAAGGAAACATATAAAAAAGATCTTGATAAAGCTGCCGGATAACTTTTTTCCAACATATCGTTTAATAATAAATATCGTTTTAAATGTCGATGGGAAGACAAAAAAGGAAAGATGTAAATATAATTGTTGCTGTAGGGAGCAACGTAATAATTATTATGAAAAATTATCCGATGACATGAAAGGTAAAAGAAAGTCCATCGAGCGCTGCCAAGTATCGTCGTCAATCGAAAACCCCGTGGTGCCTCGGCCACCGCCGATGCCCGTAAATTTGCTAGAAATTCCTGAAGGCAGCTTTGATGAGTTGCGTGTAAGGCCTTCGTCCACTCCGACCAAGATAATTATTGGTTTAGAAGAAATTGGGAATGTTAAACTGCGACCGTCGGAAGTTAGACGAAATAGCGCACAAGTTCCAGAAGTAAATGATATGTTGCAGATTTTAAAACGTCGGTACGCCGCCATTCATTCCCCGGGATTTTTTACAGATAACGAAAACCAGTTCGATTCTTTTTCGGCTGGAAGTGAAAACTCGTGTTCTTATTCTTTAATTATGTTGTGATGCAATAAATTAATCCAAAATCTGTTTCACGCGGACTTATTTCTTACAAGTTCCAGAAGTAAATGATATGTTGCAGATTTTAAAACGTCGGTACGCCGCCATTCATTACCCGGGATTTTTTACAGATAACGAAAACCAGTTCGATTCTTTTTCGGCTGGAAGTGAAAACTCGTGTTCTTATTCTTTAATTATGTTGTGATGCAATAAATTAATCCAAAATCTGTTTCACGCGGACTTATTTCTTACCGATGACCTTGACTTTACATTACGCATTTATATAACCAAAACTGAATATTCCTGCCACAAAATTAACGTTCGCTAGTGGCGTGCCTGTGGCACGGGGGGGGGGCGCTAACACTTAAAAAAACTTTAAATTTTAATCTATTTTTAATCCCCAATATATTGCTTTTAAAGTAGACAATTAAAACCCATTTAAACACAATGTGTCAGATTTAAAAAAAAACGAGCCAAACCCATCTAACCAGAGGCGGATTAAATGTCGAGAGCGCCCTAGGCAAGCACCTCATCGGCGCCCCTTTAGCGGCCATATATTATAAATTTTAACTAGTACTTACATAATAATTATTTGTGCCCTACGGTTTCACCCGCGTGATGCCCCTTACCGTGGAAATTTTGGTCAAAGAAGTAACACACACACTTTCGCAGTTATAATATTATCAGGGTAAGTATACGTGTCCTGGCATATACTTATAATTAGGTATAGGCCAGGACACGTGTACTTTAAGGCGTGAATGAATTATGTGATATATATTTCTATAGAATTAACTCATATTTTACATGTTAATTTTAATTTTTTGTTAATTAGGAGTACCGATACAGATTTGATCGCTCTTAAGTGTACCTAATAATAAGTTTTAAGGAAACATAAAAATCGCTTGTATACAGTTTAGTTTAAGGAAAATAATGGGCGAAATTAGTGCAAAGATTTACTATTTGGACAACGAAAATCAGTGTACCTGTGGTCTAAAGTTTTAATAGAAACATTAAATTAGTGCATTATAAAGCAACCCCAACAAGTGAATATAGTGAATAAAGACCATACGGACACATAGGTAATTAAGTGATAAATGACAGCATACCTAAAGATCTAACCCTCGGCCAATATCATATCATATCATATCATCATTATTACTGAAAACAGCGTAACAAAATAAAGAAAACTATCTATCGATAGTTCCGAATTTTAGCAGACTACAAGACCAGCAAAGATAGGTCCTAGCAGCGTACTAACCAACCAAACCTCATTCATGAACCCCAAATAAATGGGGTCATTACTAAATCCCTGGTTGAGGGGGATTCCAGATTGTACTTAGTTTTGGGTCAGTTCAATGACACCCAAAAACCAAAATGTTTTCCTCCCTTGTCCCGTACCCCACTAGCCTAAATCGGGCGTATGGCCCGGCACGACGGAAAAATTTCGGGAGTGGCCTTAACCAACCAACTAAACTGCGCACCACTCAATGTGTCGCGACCAAAAAGTTCGTCCTTTTTCAAAACGACATAACTTTTTTGTTTCTTGAACGATTTTATTTTGGTCTATGATGTCTGCTAGCCCCATCCTCTGGCAATTCATGCTATAGATATGAAGCTCACGGTTCTTCAAGTAAATTTTCTACAGGGTGATATGTTAAACGGTGAAAAATTTAAATAATTTCATCCAAGCCCCGTTTGAAAAAAGAAATATTTTTTCTTGTTTTTACTTTGAAATAATGAAGTATTATGTCTAACCTTGAAACGGTTTTCAAATTTTTCAAATTGGAATCTTAGCAACGAAAATATAATTGTTTTTTTCAAAAGAGCAGATTTAAGGTTTTTGGTAGACAATACACTCAGTCTTTTTAATAACAAAAAGATAAGATGGTGAAAGATTGTTCCTTGAATAATTCTGAATAAGCGACAAGCAACAAATTTCCATCATTTTCAGAGGGGCCTAAGCAACGACCACTTTTTCAAAATGACATTTTGGTGATTATTTTTTTTGACAGTTCTCTGTATTGTTGGGACATTGTTGAGGCATTGTTGTTGAGGGAACCTACAGCGAATTACAGCGATAATTTTTTGAAAATTTTCTCTGGTAGTTGCTATATATAAAAAAGTCAAATTAATTACACGTCAAACTGACAGGTTGAATTCAATTGTGAAAATTGGAGATTTTGCATGAAAATGAGTCGATTTGGAGTTTGTTCTCTGTCCACCATCGATAAAAAAGTCAAAGGAAATGTTCCCATTAATACGGAGAAGTCAAAAAAAACAGTTTGGAACCAATTTACTACTTTTTGTACTGAGAGGGAATACACATTGAGTGCTGAAACGAGTGAAGCGCAATTGGCAAACATTATGAAAGATTACGCTTACAATATGAAGAAAATGGATGGAGAAGACTATAAGGAAGGTACAATAATAACTGTCAAAAAAAATAATCCCCCGAATACCACACGAGCTTCAAAATTATCTGGCATTTCCCTCAAGGTTCCCTGCAAACAAATAAAGTCGTCAAGTTTTTCAGGAAAAATCACTCGCGCTTCGCGCTCGTGATTTTTTAACCTGAAAAACTTGACTCCTTCATTTGTTTGCAACGAACCTATCGGGAAAAATACCCGATAATTTTGAAGCTCTTGTGGTATTATATATGAAAATTTGCGAAAACTAAACCTGAACCGATATTTACGTTCGTGACATGTTTTTTTTTTTATAATTTTGACCTCCTTATTGTGATTCAGTTGTCAAATTTAAATTTCAGATAAAATCAAAATCACCAAGAATCAAAATTTGAAAACAATTCCCTGCTGTTAAATGTCTTAATAAAAACAGATTGCTGGTGTGTTTCATGCATATTTATGATTAAAATGCCATTTGGGGATTCATTTTTTGGGCCAAATTACTGCAATTTGTTTGAGTTGGGATGATAATATTACATAACTTACATAACCTAATTGTTAATAAAGTTCAATAAAAATATTTTTGTTAATTTTTTAAAATTTTATGCGAAGTTATAATCATAATCAAAACAGAAAAATGTAACAAACGATAACAATAATAACTTTCAATCTTCTGCGAACCGTTGATTTGGAGATGTTAATTCCCGTAGCTGCAGCAAAGTCTGGCATTGGCATTTTAATCATTTAAACTTTAAATTATTGAAATGCAAATGCCAGAATTTGCTGCAGCTACGGGAATTAACATCTTCAAATTAACGGTAAATTTTAAAGAAAGAATGGAAGTAACCTGGGTAAGATAGGGGTAGGTATGTAGGTATAGGAAGGTATAACTTATGCAAAAAACTTCGAAATTTGGAAAAACACAAGCAAACTGAAAAAATCAAGAATATCCCTCATAATGCGTTTTGAATGTTTTTCAAGAACTTATTTTCATCATTTGATCCTCGATTTGATCATTCAGCGACATGATAATAACGTACTAAAGATGCAAAACACAGTAAAAAACAGTAAAAACCAGCAATCGTATTTTATTGAGACATTTAACAGCCAGGAATTGTTTTCGAATCTTGATTCTTGGTGATTTTGGTTTTATCTGAAAGTTACATTTGTCAACTGAATCACAATCAGGAGGTCAAAATTATGAAGAAAACATGCCACGAACGTAAATATATATATATATATAAACGTAAATATATATATCTGTTTAGGTTTAGATTTCGCAAATTTTTACCAAAATGTTATTTTGAAAAAGTGTTCTTTGCTTAGGCCCTCTAAAAATAATGGAAGTTCGTTGCTTGTCGCTTGTTCAGAATTATTTAAGAAACAATCTTTCACCATCTTATCTTCTTATTCCTAAAAAAACTGAGTTTATTGCCTTCAAAAAACCCTTAAATGTACTCTTTTGGAAAAAAAATCATATTTTCGTTGTTAAGATTACAATTCAAAAAATTTGAAACTTGTTTCAAGGTAAGACATAATACTTCAATATTTCAAAGAAAAAACGAAAAAAAACATATTTTTTTACAAACGGGGCTTGGATGAATTCATCAACTTAAGTTATTGAAATTTTTTACCATTGAACATATCACCCTGTAGGAAATTTTCTTGAAGAACCGTGAGCTTCATATCTATGGCATGAATTGCCAGAGGATGAGGCTAGCAAACATCATAGACCAAAATAAAATCGTTTAAGAAACAAAAAAGTTATATCGTTTTGAAAAAGAACTAACTTTTTGGTCGCGACACATTGAGTGGTGCGCAGTTTAGTTATATGTATATGCCTGCCATACGTTCCTTATACTCATACTGAATTTTAATTTTATGTTAATTATTTTTTCGTTTTAAACTCACGTGCTGATTAAATAATACAACCAAAAAGTTGAAAATACCTACTCAGTGTTCAAAAAAACCTCCTTGTAACCTCGCGCCCCTAGGCACGTGCCTAGTTTGCCTTAGGGATAATCCGCCTCTGCATCTAACACAGGGCATTTGCGATGATTTATATTAATTGTGCTTGTATTAAGAAATGGCTTTTATACTCAAGAATCAAACCTATTTACCGCGTTAAATGGGCTTAATTCGTAAGTATAAAAGTCATTTCTTAATGCTATAATGTAGCATATCATGTACTTTTAATATAACTTAACGCAAACGCCCTGTGTTACATACATATGTTTGGCTCGTTTGTTTTTTTTTAATCTATGTGGACATACCTATAGAATAAATATTTTGTGTAAATTACAGCCTGTACTGGGGCTCGGTGCAAGAACCGGGTATCTCCATATTTTCTGCTAAATTGAGTTAGGTATATGAAGATACACCCTTCAGTATCCACGTTAGCTATAACTAAATATATCAGATACAGGAGAAATAAAAATTAATGACATTGGATAAAATAATTTTTAACAAGGTTTTTCTTGTCTCCCGAACATTTTCCGAATATGGAGATACCGAGCCCCTCAATTGATCGATCGAATTTTTGAAAAACAAACACTGTTTTTGAGTTGCAAGGATATATTTTAATTTAATTTTAACACAATT